ATAGTCCTGAGGACAGGACGAAATATTCGTGCCTAATAAAATTATCTTCCTATAATACGTCATCTGTGTATGATTTTTTATCGTTTCAATGTCTATTTATTAATGCCTACTTTATATATATATATATATATATATATATATATATTGTAGGCATATTTAATGAGCTGGTAAGCAGTGTGTGTGTTACCAATAGGGACTCAAATAACCGTCCCACCTCCTACAACTCTTTAAATAAATCACGTAGAAAATATGTAAATATATTCAGATTCAGGTTCATTTATGCAAATGAAGCTTAATGCTTCTATTATAGCTATTCATTATGTTTTCTTTACCGGTAGTAAATTAAATTCAGTAATCTCATTTAGACTCGATATGAAATTTAGGACAGATTGTGAAATTGAATATTGTGATGTTGCCGTCTCGAGGCCACAAACCTACCATTAAGCCCTCGAGGGTAGGATATTAGTTTTTATCTATTCTCAGTAGGCTAGCTATAACGTATACGGTATACGGTGTATATAGACATTATTATTAGAGTATTATTATTTAGATTTAGGTGCACTGCAGCAAAATCAGATTTTTTAATGCATCGTTAGCATTTTCCATTTAATAGTCACGCCACAATAGTCATAGTGACTCACTAGATTACCGTATATTATTATTATTATTATTATTATTATTATTATTATTATTATTAATTATTGTTATTATTATTATTATTATTATTATTATTATTTTTGTTGTTGTTATTGTTGTTGTTGTTATTATCATATTTATAGTTATTTTTATATAATAGTAAAATAATTACCGGTAATAATTATTATTATTATTGATGATGAGAGTAATGGAAGTGAAGATGGGATATAATATCGATGATAGTGATAATGATGCTATTTGCTGTAGTGTATGCGGGGGGGGGGGTGAGGTGAAGTTGCTGACAATCATCAAGAAGATGATGAAATGGTATAATCATCACTGACGTTGCTGTTGGCTTGACAATGATTATGATTATGATAATAATAATAATGGTGATAAGGTGATAGTGATACATTTATGATATGATGATGTGTCTGGTGATAATGTGATGATATCCAGAATACGATTGTGATGAAGATAGTAAGCCTATAAGTACAGTAATTACTGTAGTAATGATGATTGACTATGATGAGGATGTTATGATCAGTAATAGTCAGAGACTAATGACAGAGGTGGTTGTAATGTTGAGGATGGTAATGATGACGATGAGTTGATGATGACTTATAAATGATGATGATGTTGGTGATGTCGATAGTTTTGATGAGGATGATGAAGATGACGATAATGATGATAATATTGATTATGACGATTTGATGATCAGTTAATGGTGCTGAGGCTAATGACAGAGGTGATTACAGTGTTGAAGATGGCAATGATGACTGATGTTGATAATGATGATAATGATGATAATGACGATAAGAATAATGATGATGTTGATGTTAACGATAAAATGATGTTGATGATGATGATGACGACAATGATGATGATGTTGTTGATGATGATGACAATAATGATGATGATAATTTGATGACGATAATAACGATGATGATGTTGATGATGACGATAACAATGATTATGATGAATACGATGATGATGATAATAATGATTATGATGAATACGATGATGATGATAATAAAAAAATGTAATTTGTTGGCTATTTATGATGACAATTATTCTAATTGTTTACGTTGATATACCGATGATGACGTAGAAGGTAGTTGCGGTAATATAAGTTTCGTTATGATAGCTGATCACTCTAATTACCGGTTTCATTGAATCCTCTCAGAATCATTGCAAATGTAATCGTCCTACATACTTTATTGTTTAGCGTTCTGTTTATTATTGATTTTAACTTGAAATCAATACTGTCTTCTTCTTGGGATCGAAATGCACATTACACTAAATATAAGATAAATAATAACAAATAAGAAAATCTGCCGTGTGCTCGCGCGTTTTTAGCATTATCACTTTGTTCCTTTCAAATAACATTGTGCAGCAACAGACGAAGTAGAAATCTTGTAAAAATTGATTTAGAGTAAGGTGGTAAACCCATTGAGTAAATATTTTGCCTATAGTAGTAGTACAGTACTATTTTCCATTGGGTAATGATATCATATCGATCACGGTGTAATGAAGCAGCGGTACGTTGCCGCGCCGCACACAACTAACCCACAATATCAGTCCGCAGCTAGAGTATCGTTTCCGGAGCTGGAAAAGCAATCAGCATGTTACCTGTTATAAAGTTATGATGAACTCAATACTGCAGAAGAATATGCCAGATATTATCTATGTCGAGATAATAGGAAATTTATACCGCAACGTCTAGGAATAAACAAAACCACTTTCGATACCTGACTTTGGATGGGATCTCATAGATATGATTCACGTTCAGCGAGTCTTTATATTTTAGTCAATTTGATTTCCAATTATTAATTGCGATAACGCTAGCAAAACAAAATTCAACTAACCAATCAATGGTTATGGTATTCTTGGAAATATATTGACTATCTTCAATATTTGAAACACAAACTTGGCTTGAGGAAAATACTTCAAAATGCTGCTAAATAGAGCGTTGCGAATGTTATTCGTAGCCTATTCATATTTGGTGAGTATTTCTGTCTGTGAATAACAAAACGATTAAAATGTAAATTTTTAAATTGTATTTTTTTCATATTGTAATTTCAAGCCCAACGTATATGCTAGGAACTGTTTATGAATCTTTGTAGTATATTTTTCGTTGAGCTTATCCATATGCTTAGAAAGTACAGCGTGCGCTCAATTGTCCTGCCCTAAGTGCGTCAAGTACGGTAATAGCATTGACGCGAAAACAACATGTTCGATTTAACCATGGCTCCATGATTTAACGACATATAGTTAGAGTATGTTAGATTGCGTATCTTGCGATGCCTGCATTTAACCATCATAACTGATCCGCGGATGCATTAACTCCTTTTAGAAGCCATGTCGCGCAATAAGTCTTCTCTCAACGGTCATATTACCAATAAATGACCATACTTTCAAGTACCCTAACGCGCCATGTGGCTCATTTCAAAAGAGGCTTATTATCTACTTTGAGTCGGAAAACGGACCGGTCAATGATGCGCGAACCAATATTACATATTAAATATTCCCACTAACTAGGTATTATCCTTAACCGATTTCCCGGTGTTACCCGAATTCGAAATAGGCCTACCTGACACATAAGTTTATTATCCCATGCAACAAAAAGATAGGCCTAGTTTATGCTTAACATTATATCATATTGATGAATTATTTTATCGACAGAATCCGTTCAACAAAGTTGCATCGAAAGACTGTATCATCCATCTTCCCCATCCACCACCCATTGTCCTCCCTTTGCAATGGGTAATTATATTAAGGCAGTATGGGGGCTCTTTGTAAACTATTACCTATCGTATACACGAATGTTACTATGGTGATTAATATCGACGCATTACGCTGTAGCCATGAAAAACACACACAGTTGCCATTAGCCGATTTAATACACAGTTTCTATTATTTTGTTCACCAATAAATTCTATTTTAGATCGACGGTTTTATACCATGGGATTACAATGTTAAGCGAATGTTTTTTGTATGAGTTTATTATACGTACCTCTCCGACCTTAGCCTATACTGGAACTAATACAATATTCCTGTTTAATATTCTACTACATCATAGTTGGCGCCACCCCGATGAAGTATAAAAGAATACATTTAAATATATTATAATTTAGATTATAATAATAATGTGATTTATATAGCGCCTTCCCAAAATGTCCAAGGCGCTTCACAGTTCCTAAACCACCTGATATCAAAAGTCTTACAAAAATAGAATCATTATTTACAAATAATTAAAAGGAATAGGTAATTGATATTATCAAAAGATATGATAATACAATAAGAATAATTTATATAATCTTACAAAAATATTATTGTTAATTTTACAATTATTATTATTATTATTATTTACAATTCGATAAAAAGCAAGATTAATAATATTATTCAGGTCAATATTTAAAATATATAAAAATACACAAGATCAAATTTAAAAATTGCCAAAACCAAGATCATCTAAACGTTGAAATTAATAGAGCATTCTTAAAATTAGTATTATTAACTATTAAACTTTCCAAAAAGAAGCTCAGACAAATTACCATTGAGCTCCTCAGTTTGCGTGCGGAGCTAACAGACGCTGGGGCCAGGGGCCACGTAGGGCCCCCAGTCGGAGTCCAGTGGGTGAAGGTCTGTCTCTTATACACATCTAGATGTGTATAAGAGACATGTATAGGCTTACGTGTTATGCCCACAGTCCATCGATATATCTTTTTTGATTCACGTATTCCTCTACAAAGATTTTACTGTTATGTGTGGATAATGAAACGGCGGCCTACGACCACCTTATTTCTAAACTCCTGTTGTAAAGTACAGTATTATATGGTATTTCATTTGAGTATGCCTTCAGTGCACATATATTATATCAGATAGGCCTACTCAAAGTCAATCGTGCCGTCATCACTGCAGCTCTCAACGTTATTTTCCTATCCCCAACCGTGCACTAATTTTTCATTAGTGCACGGTTTGCTCGAACTTTTTGGGGTTCGTGTGCAAAAAAACCAATTCTACTTATACATATTGCGATGAATTTTAGGCTTAGCCTTATTGGTAGCCACTATAGGCCTAATTTATATCATAGCTCTATGATGTATGATCTTCTGACTACAATATAGGAAAAAGCAAGTGGTTAATGTACATAGGCCTAATTTATAATTTAGACAGTTGCCTACTAAGAGCCGTTTAAAGGTTTATCTCCCTATAGTAATAAATACGGTAGGTCTAAATACTACAGGAAAGCCTTTGTTTTTGTTCTTTTTTTTATTTACCCGCAACTGCGGAAACGCTTCTGTTCTTAGCATGAATATATAAAACCAGCTCCATTATCTCGGTATTGGAAATTCCTGCTTGTTTGAATATTTTATGCTTAGATTTTAATATGAATACTGTAGGCGTATACTTCATTGAAAATAGCATGTATGTTAACGATACAAACAGTGGTCACATTCAATACAGCATTCCAACTTGAGACCACTTCGGGACCTGAACATTTGGGGTGGTCTCGGAGTTCGGTCTCCAATTAGAGGGCTAGCTTTGTGTTATCGTTATTTGGTTCTTTGAAAAAGTGGCCTCAGATTGGAGGGGTATCGGAATTAGAGGGGTCTCGAAATCTTCATCAAACTTGGTCGAAGCAAAGCCTATAGTAAAGATGTTCTTAGTAAAAATTTCAATTATACATATGTTTGTATTAATACATGTTATAACTCTTAATTACTATGCCGGATCAACGCAGTTTAACGCAATTTGCGTTTATTTAAGCGTTTCAAACTAATTAAAGTTAGGTTTAACGAAAATTTACCGCCAAACAATTTTTGCACATTAATTGCAAAATAATGCAAACATACTGCAGAAAAAAAAATAATTTTATTGGCTTTGGTTGTATGGTGCTATGTACTGCACCATCAGCAATACCATAAAAACCAACGTTTGAGCTGGTGCAAATGTTCAAATGTCAATTGTATGCATTATAGTAAGAAAAATGTACATGCAAAATAAAACTCAGGTCACAGAAACATTATTCGACATGCATCTGAATAGCACGGGGAATGAATTAGCTTTTGCGCTTATTTGTTTATTTCACGAGTATGCAAATTAGTAAAACTGAGGCTTAACAGCAAAATAGATCACTAATGGTCATTAATACACTTAAAACTCAGCACCATTAGCTTCCTGCTGTTCCAAGCTTCTCGACTAAATTGCTGTTACTCACACCCATACGCTACTATTTCTTTTCACACAGATTATAATACACTGATAGAATATAAATAGTGCATCATAGTCTCTTTTTTGAGAATGTAATTTGAAAGACACTAGAGGTGGATCCAGGATCATAGGCGGATTCAAGGAGGTGGACAACCGCCCTTCCTCCTTCCTATTTTTTAATTATTAAAAAAATAATGGAGAAAAAAGAAAATTATTTTCAAAGTTAAATCTGAGAGTATTAGAGGTGCCATAATCATAAATTTTCTTACCTCAGCCCCGGCCATGGTGAGGGGCTGAGGCGGTCTATATCCTCAATCTGTGAAAGTTCCTCCAAGGACACTCTCTAATTTGAATTCCTGGATCCGCCACCGAGGATGTTTTGCCGAAAACATGGAAATGGTGGGGAGGGGAGGCGAAAAGCTAAGAACCTACACTACAGTTCTTCTAGCGTGGAGTTGGATTTGTTCATTTGCAGCCCAGCAAACTCAGGGGCTTCAGGAATATGACGCCCCTGGGCGTAATATTCCTGAAGCCCCTGAGTTTTATCCATTTTTAGTCATATTAGTCACTTATAATACTATATGACAATTTCACGCTTGGTTAGAATTTTCTTGTTACCAACGAGTAAATTTCCCGTTTGCCGTCATTTCTTCATTCTTTCTTTCTTTTAATAATATTTCAAGAGGAAATGTACCGCTCAGCAAGGCTGATTTTCAGGGGAGTCCTCATCACAACAAACAAGTTACAAAAGAGACACAAGACACAAGTTACAAAAGAGACACAAAGCAAAGCATCAGCCACTAAGTCTCCCCAAATTTAACTAGACTAGTTTAACTGTTTTCTTTCGCTATTTTCTGTAACTGTTTTTGTTGCTTTGAGGGCCTCTTTAAGTCAGCTTTGCTGTAAGAGTCCCCTCGTGAAATATTAAAAAAAGAATAAATAAATAACTTTATACGCTTTACACGAACCAACTGTCTTCATCTTTCTGCCATTCATTTGTTCCAAAGACTGGAATAAAACTACTGAATGATGTTTAAAAAAAAAAAAAAAACCCCAATTTTTAAATTTTTCCCACAACATTTCACTCTGAAATGTCACATTAAAATCTAGTTTATTTTTGGTTATTATTGAATTCGATTATAATATTAGGCCTAATGTATGTCTAGGTTAGATTTGTGGTAGGTTTTGAGAGCGGCTAGCGCAGTCGGCTAAACTGATGGTAGCTACTGTGTGTGAGCTGAACCGCGGGGATCTCCTGCTCCGTGCTCTCATTGTGTTTCTGGAGGAGCTGGAGGGCTAAAATGTAAGTTTCAATAAGCGCACCGTCTTTCGGATGACACGTTTAAGCCTTGGTCATATGTTCAGTGGCGTCACGGATTTTGTGGGGCCCTGGCGCTGACTGTTATTGGGGGCCCTAATAAGCCAGGCCCGTAGACAGAATTTTCAATTGGCAGGTGCGTTTTGAGAGAGGAAACGGGCCTTAGACTGGGGGGGGGGGGCGCTAGGACTCCGCGGGGTGGTCGAATCCCTCGGAAGCTCAGACAAATTACCATTGAGCTCCTCAGTCAAATTATTTTAAATTCTCCATGTTTTCATTGTTTTTCAGGTTATCAGTGTAGAGAGAATTCATTCTGGTGTCAGGCTCTTAGTCCATTATTCTCTCTTGGCATACCGCTACCTGTCTTTTATGTACTTAATTGCTTTTACTTTGTAAATTTTTGTACAAGGAAATGTCGAATGTTTTATGTATGTGCAGAATTTTTAATAAATAAATAAATACGCAACAGTCACTGGGAGTTTTGGCCAGGGAACAGTTAAACCATGTTCCCTGGTTTTGGCGTTTGCAGTGGCGTAACGTCTGCACTCTTGTGCGGCGGTCCGCAGGGTCCCCGACCCATCCTCTATCTAGAACCCAGACATGACCCAAAAGGGCTTTGTTGAAAAATAACTGTATAGTGTGTCTCTGACATCGACTGTAGGACATATATTATATTATATTCAATGGCGGATTAAAGGGACACTTACGGCCCGGGCCCCCTAAATTTGTCAAAAATAAATTTAAAATGGAGACAAAAAAAAAATTAAAGTATAGAGTGCCATTTCTGGCCATTTGGAGGTGTCATAATCATAAATTTCTCAGTTCTAAACATGGTGAGGCTGAGGTTTTATAGACCCTCCATGTGAAAGGCCTCCCTATACTTTAAATTGCCGGATCCGCCACTGATATAATATAATTTATTTCGTCGTTAAAACATCATCACAGTAATAAACCTGATTAAAAAACGAGCTCATCTGAAATCCCACGGAATTGGTGGCCGTGACTCTAAAAGGACCCCCAGTCTCACTAAAGTCAGAGGGCTAGCTCCCAGTCCCATCGTTACGACACTGAGAGTTGGGTAACATCTGCTATTGCAGTATATTCATAGGGCAGTGACATTTAGACTCCCTATACCCACTCGTCAAGAGGTAGAGGACTTCTCACTATTTTAATTTCAGCTGTAATTTTAAGTAAACGAATATTAGGTCTAAGTGAATGATGTATTAATATGCCCATTCAGGGAATAATAAAAAGAAAACAATTTAATCATACTTGAACGCACTAAGATTAAATTATAAATTCGTGCTACAAAACAGAAATAAATCTGTGAATATGAAAAAAAAAAATATACGGTAGTAATAGTATGATACGCGAGTTCTAATTTCTATCTACCACAAAAATAACAAAATTAACATGATGTTAGTTGTAGACACAAGCAATGTTCAATAATAATAATAATATTTTAAAAAAAAACCGTGGCGTCTAGTTGTCGATCTAAATATAACCAATTCACTCGAAATACCATATCTGCACTGGCAAGTACTGTTTGATCGCTAGACATCCACGGTTTACGGTCGTTAAGTAGCCGATACACATTATGAAGAAACAGAAATCTGCACGAGCACTCCTTTCTTTCGGCGGAAGGATATAGCATCAAGCCGGAAATAATCTAATGGACCAGCCATTTTTTATAGTTTAGGGTTAGAATTATTGTTTACGAACAGGAAAAGATTTTATAGCAGATTTACAATAACATGCGCCTGTCGGAAAACTAGTTTTAGTATACACACTTATGTGCTTTTTTATGATGTGTTTGTCAAATCGCTTTAAAGTATGATTTATTTATGTACCATAATTTTGATGGATTGTTCATACGACTAAATAGATGAACAGGATAGAGGTAAATATTACATTTTACACGGTGTTCATATAATGAAGAGTAACGAAACATGGGCCGGCAAAAAGAAACAAATAAACACTATTAACACTGTTGATGTGCACAGCATTGTTATTAGGCTTATTAATATGATTATTACCACTATCATTAACATTATATTTGTTTTTATTACTGCGATAAGAATAATAATAATAATAATAATTATACAGTAACAATAATAATAATAATTATTATTATTATTATTATTATTTAATTATTATTATTATTATTATTATTATTATTATTATTGTTGTTGTTGTTGTTGTTGTTGTTATCATTCTTAATACCACTCATTAGGCTTTTATTATTATTAGCCCTTTGTTTTATAATTTGGTGTAGAGCGCATAGATACAACATAAAATACCAATAAGGTACCGTATGCGTTATTGAAACATACAATTTCTTATTGTAATTTTAGTGTATTTTAAACTTTGTGATACGTCACATTGTACAGAGAAAACAGGTTTCATGTATCATATTCCATGCCAAATGTAATAGTTAAAATAAACTTTAAAATGTTCTGAAATAATGCCAAGTTGCCCGTATCAGCGTAGTCCACACGTTGTTGGTTGAGGCTGCCCGGAATGGACACCGTACTTGAGTAATTAGACATCATCAATGATAGCGCAGATGCCGACTGGGTAAAGAACCGCTTCACTGTCCAGGGTCCACCTAATTTAAGGCAACTAGCCTGATCTAAAGCAAGATATAAACAATGCATTTGACTCATTTCTCGGCAAACATCAGTTCTATACTACTCTTGTTAAATGGTATAATATATATTTTGTTAAATACCTCCCTATTTTCTCCAGTTCTCTAAGTTATTGAATTTCAAAGTTCACACCTAGGT